GGTGGATGGATAGATTGATGGATGGATGGATTGGTGGATGGATGGGTGGATGGATGGATTGGTGGATGGATGGATGGATGGATGGATGGATAGATGGATGGATGGATAGATAGATAGATTGATGGATGGATGGATTGGTGGATGGATGGATGGATGGACTGGTGGATGGATAGATGGATTGGTGGATGGAAGGATTGGAGTATGTATGTATGTATGTATGTATGTATGTATGTATGTATGTATGTATGTATGTATGTATGTATGTATGCATGCATGCATGCATGCATGCATGCATGCATGCATGCATGTATATTTTTAATAGCACTACAACTACAGTGTTCTGCAAAGTCACTGTGTATTGCTGGAGGAAGGATCCATTGGACGACTGCTGAATTTACTTTGGAATGCAGCCACAGCTCATAAAGATGAAGGAGACACTAACAGCATGGCCAACGGTAAACAGTGATGTAATATTTGCTCCATTAAGAGAAGCCGTGCCCTTAGGCCTGATTGGACCTGTGTAGAGTCAAACGCACGCAACAACAGGACTTGTTAATGTGACGTGTTCTGAGGCCAGGCTGCACACCACTGTTCTCTCTGCGAAGCTGCAGACGGCGATGAAACGGGGTGTGTTTAATCTAATTAGTGCACGGTTGATTTGACCTCCGAGGCTCGCTGTGACTCTTGCAAGGGTTCGATATGAACAATTAGAAGCGCTGCAGCGCTCTGTGTGGATCTGTCATTCACCTGACTCAAACTTCGAGCTGGACCCCAGTGTACTGCCCACTGCAGCCCAGAGTCATAACTCGTCAATAATTGATTTTTTTTATTTTTTTTATAACTGGGTTAGTAAAATGTACAGTTTGGTCTTAAAAAATATATAGAAAAGTTTCCTATCGCCAACCTTGAAAAACGGGCGATCATTTTATGGCCCGTTTCTGTGTGTTCGTCTGTTAGCAAAATATCTCATGAACCAGAGGATGGATTTTAATGCACTGCTTGGATGTACATCTACACCTGATTCACTTCTGGAGTTTCTTCAAGATGGTTGTTACAGCTAATTGATCTTAGCAAACACAAAAATAACTATCACTTCTACAGATAATGAGCTCAAATTTCCCAACATGCATTTCTTCAAGAAAGGCTTTTTGAATTCATTACAGTTATTATTTACAGAATGTAATAAATTAATCATTTGTCTCTCAGTGGGGACATTTCACTGTATTAGCAGCAAACTGATAGGTATATAGAGACATTCTGGTTTATTTATTTCCTACTGGTTTTATTGTTTAGGCTGAATTTTTGAATTGCACGTGACTGAAACCTTTAAAAGTTCTCGTGGTGGAAACGAGATATGAATAATGTCCTCATGAACCAAAGCACAGCGATAAAGAAAAACACTCAGGCACGCTGCGATATGTTCAATTTCAAGTGGAAGCATGTGTTGCGCTGATGAATCCAGAGGTTTCTGTTTTTTCACAGTGAAACTGGGACACTTCACAGTCTCCATGAATCTAGTCAGACTACAGCTGCGAAGCTCCACAAACTTTTCCAAGACACACTTGAAGCCCACAGGGGGGTGAACGTTTGAGATTTACAGAGAGGAAAGTCAACTCTGAAGATTTTCATCAGTAAAAGAGATTAACCTATTGAGGAACTTGGCTATATAAACCGAAGAGCCGCAGTAGGGACGCACATTATCGACGTATCGGCTGATATTAGCGATAAATAGCGATAAAGTTAAATATCGGATATTGGTCATTCCATCAAAATAACTCAATGATATAAAAGGTGCTGTTTTTGTATGACAACCCAGTGCAGAACCAACACAACGCTATGACATCACGCCCACCGTTGAGTTTAGATTTGTGAAAATGTACTAATTTGCACTGCGAGTATTGTCATTGTGTTAGAGAGAGTAAATGTCATGAATAAATCTGACATTAAACTTAACCCAAGTTGAAGTGTTGCATAATTTTCAGCCCCCTTTTTGGCATCTGCATTTGATAGCAGGCTGAATTGACAAGACCATAATGCAGTATTTTAATACTAAGTAGGCCTAGGGGAAAAAATATCAGTATTGGTATCGGTTATCGGCCAAATAAGTTTGACATATCGGCCAAAAATCCGACATTGTGCATCCCTAAGCCACAGGGCTTTCGAAGACCTTCCATCATCCTTCCTCTGTGAAACGGTCTGTGCTGTGGGTCATCTCCTACCTTCAGTAGTAGGTGATACTTCAGCACCCTCTGCATGGGAACCACCAGAAGATCCTGCAGCTTGAACTTCCCTTCCTGCACTTTCATGGTGCATTCCTGTGGAACAAAGGCACAAGCAGCAACACATTCACAACACGGCGAATAACAGAGTGGTGGATTACAGGATAACGATAATTCATTTGTTGTTTAACAATTCACCGCTGCATCGTTGCTGCTACACGTTCTCGAAGCGTTCCAATAAAAATGACGACGGTTGTTGATTCTTTTAGGACACAAAACGCTGCTCACGCCAGAATTTGTGACACAATTATTCTACATGCCGACTCGGAGATTCTTCTAAATAATGAATGAGTTCACATAAACTCTGCATCATCTTTATGAAAAAAAAAGTCTCTTTTGTTGCTTTTATTATTTCACACGGCCTAATGATTTGTTAAGATATTTGTTGAATAGTCTGAATAACTGCAGTCGCAGAAATAGCTTATCCCTCTTCACCAACAAGGTTTTATAAAGAAACGATAAAGAAGCTAATTTAACAAAGCTGTTTTATTCTAAGACGATTTCAGCACCAAATACCCTGGCTGTGATCACCTTATTATGTTGTCAATAGCAGCTAAAGCCCTTTCTTTGCTCAGCTGCTGATCCTGCTATTACACAGCAACTCTGCAGGGAGGACTGAAGTTCAACTTCCTGTTAAAGCTCCCATAGGATCAGAAAACAACAGCACAGAGACAAAAAGGGACATCTTGCAGCAGAAATGGCTTCAGAAACTCACACAGATTTAAATCTGAAAAATATTACAGCAGAGATGTTCTTTCCATTCATGATTTTTATATTTTTCATTTTAAAAAAAAAATCTCTAACACAGTTAAGTCAGGTCCTCTGGACGGATTCTTGTTGTTGAAACATTTTGTCTTTTATCCAAAAGACTTCTTCAGTCTGATAAAAGTGCTGAAATAGCACTATTATACTACTATTACACATATACTGTAGCACTATTTTATTTCAGTCTAAGATCAGATTAGAAATATTGTAAATGGTAAAATGTGTTAAAAAAAAAATCATTTTTTTAATTAGTATTTTATCTTTAAAGGCTGAAAATGATCCCAAAGGTTATATGCTGTATCACATTTGTTCTGATGTTTCCATAAGAGCCAAAAACCCTTATTTACTTTTATAACATTAAAGAAGTCAGTATAATTAAAAATGTGGTGATACAATAATAATTTTGGCAGGTCTGCTTTTTCCATGGGCTATGTGGTGAACGGATCATACCTCAACTTTAATCTTGACGTCCTCTCGTGTAGCTGTTAGCTCATCCAGTGTTTTCTGGGCGTTCTCCATGTGGCTGCAGTACTGACCATATATCAACAACCTGAGAACAGAAACACAACAAAACCCAAACATGAACCTAAACACACACACACACAGCTCATCCTCATTTAGTATATTATACAGTGGTCCCAACCCTAGTCTTTGAGGAACACCATCATGCATGTTCTAGTTGTTTCTCTGCTCCAACGCACCTGATTCATTGACTTAGTTACTTCCTCAAGTTCTGCAACCTGTTCATCACACATTCATTTAAATCAGGTGTGTCAAAGCAGGGAAACAATTAAAACATACAGGATGGTGTTCCTCAAGGACCAGGGTTGGGACCACTGCATTTTACAAGCACCTTTCGAGAGGAGTATACGTTGAAGTGGTTCCGATTGACTCACCTCAATGTGGTTCATAAAGTCAATGCGACTCTACTGCAATTTTATTTTGAAATTGCAGAAAACTAAAATCAGTTTGTCCTTTTGATCATAGACACAATAAAAAAATGTGATGTAAAACAGGGATTGTGACTGAGACATGTTCTCCTTTGTGACAAGATCATCATGTGCATGTTTCATCTAAAACAAGAGGTTTATTAAGAACTAATAAGGCTCTTCTGAAAGTCTGAATTGTTCCAGCTTTAATATTAGTGTCAAAACTGAGATTAAAGAGTGATCACTGTCAAAGCTGTCAATTAGATGTGAACTGCTGAGTGGTTTATAGGCTTTAGGCAATGCACTGTACATTAATTTTAAGATGAATACCACAGTTTGAGAGGTCAGATTAGGAGACATTTGGCACCACAGGGGGTGGCAGATAAATGAACGTGTGAATGAATGCGTTATGATTAGAAACATGCACCGGGCTTATCCTAAGGCAGCGTTTGTCATAGCGGCATGTTGCTGCCCACAAACTGTGATCACACAGCACTAATGAAAGACAGTTGCCAAGCAGATTTCTTGTTATCACTCTGGGAGGGGGACATCATTTGGCTATATGAAAGCGGTGTTCATTAGGTATTACAATGGGACACTGACACAGATCTGTGGGTTCAGCTGGGCGGGAGTTCAAAGTCATCTCGCCTGGAGGACATAACATTCCTCTCACTCACTCTGACTTAAAGTAGGACATTGGCATAGCTGGTATAGAACCCCCACTGCCCCCCCCCCCCCCCCCCCCACCAGAGCTGGCACATGTCTTAATCTGAATCTTGAATAGCGTGAGGAGCACCGGCATCCTGAAGTCTAATCATGCCCCTGATAAATCTTAAAAGCAGGAAAGAGCAGCTCTGCAAATGCTGAAAAAAAAAGGTTGCTTGTTGGATGAGCAGCACAAACTAAACCTGAAGGTGCACACTTGTCATGTTAGATGCCTAAACTGCATTTTCAGAACAAATGTTTTTGTTTTGAACAGATTTTTATTTACAATTAAAGCCTAACAATCTTGGAAGGAATGCATATCATTTGCCACCTTTATTCTAAAGTTTTAAATTATGCTCACCTATTGTTGAGAAATGATGGAGTTAGACATTTTGCTTGATTCCTAACAATACTGTTAGGGGCAATCTCAAATTAGTTTTGTGTTAATGGCTGAAAAAAAAAAAGTTCTTATTAGTGGTTAATGCTGTTGCCTCGCAGAAAGAAAGTCCTGGGTTCAATTTCCAATGTAGCAGGCCATAGTATACCCCGAGTCTGGAATGTACCTGGGATTAATGGGGCCTAGGCCAATTTATACTTGGGGGTATAACATGGCCTAAGCCTAGTCATACCCCTTAGGCCAGATTATACCTGCCTGACATCAGTGTAGGAGTTGTGGTTTTGTCCCTGGTGTTGTGTTTTTGTCTTTGCTCCCCATGATCCTCTGTTTCTCTTTATTGGGTTTGGGTTTCTCTAGTATCTAGCCCCATCTTGTGTTGTGTTCATGTCTTGCATCCTGTCTCCTTCTCTGGCATCTGTGATTGTTCACAGGTGCTTTCACTTTGTCTGATTGGTGTTTCCTCTATATAAGTCTGTGTCTCTGTGTTAGTTTTTGTCCTGGCATTGTCTACTGTTCACTGGTGATGACCTGTCTATTCTGTGAGTACCTCCTGTTCATCCTTGTTTGTTTTTGCTGCCCTGTCAGCTCTTTTGTTTTGTTAATAAATTATTTATTTTTTATATATCCTGAGTCCTCACCTGCTTGCCCGCACAACTGGGTTCACCAGCACTAATTGTGACAATCAGTATTCTTGAGTCATATACATGAGAAATACTTAATCTTTCAACATTTTATTGGGGGTTCAGCTTTTCAGGTAAGTTAAGTGAGAAAGCTAACTGAACTAAACCCTAAAACTCTCATTATTTCATATGAGGGGTATACATTGGCCTAGTCCAATTCATTTTCTCAGACAGATGGGTATATTCTGACCTGACAGTGTTTAATCTGGCCTAGGCTATTTTACACCCCTGGGTACAGTTTGGCATAGGACACTTTAACCCTTGGGGTATATTCTGGTCTGGACCAAATTATACCCAGACTGATACTGGGAGGAAGTTAATTGGATCTGTTACACTGGTTTTGACCAGGGGTCTTTCTGTGTGGAGTTTGCATGTTCTCATGTTTGTGTGGGTTTTCTCCAGGTACTCTGGTTTCCTCCAACAGTTCAAAAACATGCATGTTAGGCTGCCTTGAGGCCCAGGCCTCCCTTGCAAAAGAGATCTGTGAACTCCATAGGATTTGCCTTGTTAAATTGAGGTTAATAATAATTATAATTTTATTCAGTGCTACACTCATTTACTGTAATTGTAAACATATAAAATGCATTTTAAAATAAGGCAACCCTTTCAGTAAGGTGATAGTTAAAATGACTGTGCTGTCTGAACCCTAATAAATCTCCATTATCAATGCAAAAACATGTTTTTATATATAATTTTCTATTATAAAAATCTTCTCAAACTGTTGAGGTTGTAAAACATAGAATATGTCCAAACTTCACAATTTCCTCTAAATTTACACTATTGTCCAAACTTACATGGCCATCTGGAGATTTACACTGTAATGACTTGATTTTTACTGGCAGTGGTCAGAATAACCCCCACACCCCCCTGCAGAGAGGCTCCAGCATTGCTTAAGCCCTGGCCTAACAAGGCCCTGATTAAGACTTGATCTACCCATGAGGAGACAGCTCTCTCAGCCCCCACTCCTCTGGGAGGACGGAGATTGAGATTAATGGGGGCCTTGATCAATTATAAGGCAGCAGATGGACCGTACAGTGTCACATGAATATGGCGGAACATACCAAAGGCGCAAGTCAAGACATAATGAGACATGAAGGTTTCTGTTACAAAGCTGTTTCAAGTTGGGAATGTCAAAGAATACAGCTTCTCAAATGAAAGAACAAACTGGAATAAATGCTTAGGAATTGATGGGATGTATGTGTAACACATTTAAATAATATATGATGCATTTGTTTGATTAATTGTAACATATAGGCTCAGACATATGCTACAACATAAACCAATACATATTTTATAACAGTGTGTTTAATGATTTAAGTTATTCACATGGATTCTAAGCATATGGTGAAGTACTTCACAAAATACTATGAATGATACATACTGCATAAATGTGTATACTAAAGATCTGAAATTTTTAAGGGTGAATGCTGCTTGGAATTATTTTTCTCCCTGTGTATAGTTTTTCTTATTAAAGTTTAAAGTCAGGCAGCACGACGGTGCAGTTGGTAGAGCTGCCTTCTCTCAGCGAGCAGGTTGCCCCATTTCAAATCCAGGTCTGGGGCCTTTCTGGGTGGAGTTTGCATGTTCTCTCCATGCATGCATGGGTTTTCTCCAGGTACTCCAGTTTCCTCCCACAGACCAAAAACATGCATGTTAGGCTGACTGGTAACTACATTGCCCCTAGGTGTGGGTGACAGAGTGTATGGTTGTTTGTCTTGTTTGTCTCTATGTGGCTGAGATGGTCCTGTCCAGGGTGAACCCTGCCTCTTACACAGTGATGGCTGGACATGGGCACCAGTGACCCGAAAAAGAAGAAGCGGGTAAAGATAATGGATGGATGGAAGTTTAAGATCACCTTTTCCCCACATGGATCATAGCATTCATCCAAAATGTGGAACTGTGGGGCATATCTTTACTTCTAAAATGTTTTTGAGGGGGTCATGGAAGCTCCATTGGTCAGTCCACATTTGTGTTTGGCTTACCACCATAATGCCCAAATGGGTTACATTGGGGGTGCTGGGGGTGCTCAGATGAACTATCCAGTTTTGTATAACTATAGCAAAAGAAGGAGAACTACAGTCTCATGTCTACTTTTTGTCTGTTGGCCTTTTGAAGCCATTATTTTCAGTGCACATTGTGTTTGTAGCAGAGTGAAGTGGGCAGGGTAAGAAGCAGCTTCAAGTCTGAGGCCATGGTTTCCAACAGGAAAAAGTAGAATGCTCCATTTTGAAATGGGGATGAGTCTACCTCAAGTGGAATAATTTATGTATATAAAAGTCTCTCAATTTACTGGCTGATCTATATTCTAACCCTTACCGATTTGGATAATGACTGAAAGAATAAGATCATGGGTACGAGCGACTGAAAAAGGCTTCCTCGGTTGGGTGGCCTGGTTCAACCTTTTAGAGAGTGAGAAGCTCCATCCTTCAAGGCGAGCTCACAGTAGAGCTACTGCTCCTCCTGAGGTAGTTTGGGCCCCTGATCTGGATGGCTCATTTCAAAAGAAAGTTGAAATGAAGCCCGCTGTCACAGTTTTACTTTCCCAGCACATTTGACCCATTTATTGTTTTCACAGCTGCAGGCAGCTGTTTACAAGCTCCAACAAACCCTTTGTAGGCTTGCCTCTCTACACCAAATATCTTCAGTTCAGTTTATGCATTTATGGAAAATTACACAGTATTTAGAATAAATTTTGAGAACAATTTTTTATAAAAGCACTTTAAATCAAAGCTTTGTCCTTTTTTTGTGAAACAGGCAGAGTAATAATTTTCATTTTCATTTAGCCTTTATTTATACAGGTAGTAAAACTGCTAATGATAGACAGGAAAATGGCTTTGTACGTCTAATTTCCAATCCCATCAGCATGAGTCATAGACACATATTCTTTATTTAACTAGCAACTAACCTAATCACTCATCTTTTTCCATTCTACATGGAAAGAAGTCCATGGCTGACAACCTTCAAAAATACAAAGGCAGCCGGAGCTCCGAAGGTAACGTCGTTGTCCTGAAAGTTGAAAGGACGTTTAAATCAATCTCCAACTTCGTCAGCTAAAGAAAAAAAAACTTTGTTTTTGGTCTCATTTGCATATTTGAGCCAATTAAATTTCTTATTTAATAAGCCAGAAACAAACAGAATTTATGGCCAAATATATATAAAATATTTGAAGAAGATTAATGGGGGATTATATATTCAGGGAAGCAATTCAGATTAAACTTGCTTAGAAAGTAAATTGGCAATCAAGTGTTAGAAATTCTATGGCTGTCCAGCTGGCAAAATTACTCTGCAATGCTAACGAGTAATAGAAGAAGTAAAGCATGAACTTATAGACAGCCGAAATGTTTGAGACAATTTTCCATTGGATGTTGGCAAAGCAGTTAAAACTTCTATTCTTTTCTTTGTTGGTAATATTACCCCGCTGTGCTGGCCTCTTCCATAATGAGAACGCTGCTGTGCATGTTATTTCACAGAAAACACAATTTTGGGTAACAGTGCCCAGGGCATTCACCCTCACCCTTGTGGAGTGCAGCAAGCGGAGTCAGACAGCTGAGGCGATCTCCAAGCAAAGCAGAAGTGACAGGCTGTGGAGCCGGGTAATATTCTGTGACACATGGCACCAGGACCCCCTCACCTCCACTCAACAAAACCAGCAAACAGCAAATGAAGGCGAACACAGAGCAAAGACCCTCTCCAAAGAGGCCCATAGTGAGACTATGATTAGGCGTCGCCTGGATATCTGGGAGCCAAATTACTCCGGAAATGAGTTGGAGAATGTTGCAAATGAGTATATCAACAAGAGGGCATTTAGATGACCATTTGGTTTATAGGGCTTCCTTTGAGTGCACTTTTTCCATTCAGCCTGAGTCAGGCTGTTTAAGAACTGGGAAGATAAAACAGTGACATTTTCAGCATGGCTTCCAGTTCAATGGCAAACACACAAAAGAGGGCTTTTCATCTTTTGCTTCAACGTGAGAAAAAAAACTACAAGCACATTGTTGTAAAGGTCACAGCGACTTACAAGCACAGATAACCAAATTAATTATGCCAAGCCGAGTCCTCAGGAAAACTGCTGAGAAGCCTGAGAAAAGCTCTGCTGTGCGAGTCCAAATCCCCTGGTTACAGTTGTTTATCGCTACAGAGACACAAGACTATGTGGAGGCTTGAAATGAGGAAGGTATACATGTCAATCACCAGCAGAGAGTGAAAGCTTGTGAAGCAGGGCACTCGCAAATCAAATGAATCGTTTACCTAAAATAACCCTGCATCATATTTTGGAGAATGTCACGAAAAGGTAAACGGTAACAATGAGCGGAGTGTCATCTGCAAATTTGTTTATGAAAAGAAGTAAATGTTAAGCTGTTTTTAATCTCTCAGTTTCTGCAGGGCTGAACGGGAGACTGACAATGTCTAAAAGACTGGCTTTAGTTTCTTTCCAAGTCTGCTCAGACAATCCCCCAGTCCTTTGATAAGATTTAACTATCTATATGGAATTTTTGGGGCCATTTGCAAAATATTTTTAACCACTGCTCAATAAGATGTTAAGAGTCAGACAGGTCCATTTCTTGACTCTCACCGTGCAATTTTTTGCCATCTGAAACAATTAGTAAATGCCACACTATTCAAGCACCGTACTTTAAAATCTAGTAACTCATGTCACACAATGCACAATCTATTAGATGCTGGACTGTATGACTTTTTTTTGCAGGAGATAAAGAGAGATATCAATCCAACAATAAAAAGAGAATAAGTGCCGGTGTTGATGCACTTGAACTTAAAACAGGATAATTTAAGAAAATGGGACAACTGTAAACACACTGATAGCTGAACAAATAGACTGATTGCAGCAGCAACGACGTGCACAATCCTCTAGAACATTTCTAACTATTTGTGATATATATTGTAGGTATCTGGTTTTAAGAGTGCTGAATCAACTGTCGGTGAACCTGTCACATTGAAGGACCACAGATTCAAGTTCACAACCAAATATTTCTCTGTGATTTCACCCCCCCAGACAAAATATAATTTATCTACAGCGGCCAAAATAATACTGCCAAGTAGTAAAAATCAAGTTTTGTGTGAACGTCTTATCAAGTTTACATCTACTAGTAAGAGCTAAATTGTTTGTTTCACACCAGCTTGGCAGTGGAAATGTCTTAATCTTAAGAAATGCTCTTGCAATGAGCATATCACTTGTACAAATTTATGTTGCACAAAGTGGCAAAAGTGTACTTGAGTAGATTAAATCATCAACATTGAGGCAACTGCCAAGGTGGACATGACAGGCACAGAATGAACCAAAATGGTTCTCAAACCGTTGAGGTTGTAAAACATAGAATATGTCCAAACTTCACAATTTCCTTTACCATAAATGGTACAAAATGGACCTATTTTGGACCAAAAAAGTTATTATACATTGAAACCAAAACTGCAAGAGCACATTTTGGCAGACATACAAAATGATCTGGAGTCCTTAAGGTATGACCTTTTTACCCATACAAACTAATGTTTCACAAAAAAATACAGTTATTATTTCAAGCTGGAAACATCAAAAGCAGAAGGGATGAGAATCAGCACCTCCAAATCTAAGGCCATGGTCCTCAGTTGGAAAAGGGTGGATTGGTCTCTTCAGGTTGAGGGTGAGGTTCTGCCTCAAGTGGAAGGGTTCAAGTATCTCGGGATTTTGTTCACGAGTGAAGGGAGAATGGAGCGTGAAGTTGACAGATGGATTAGTGCGGCGTCTGCAGTATTGTGGACTCTGTGCCGGTCCGTTGTGGTGAAGAGGGAGCTGAGCTGCAAGGTAAAGCTCTCTGTTTATTGGTCAGTCTACGTTCCTACCCTCAACTAGGTTCATGAACTCTGGGTAGTGACCAAAAGAATGAGATCGCGGTTGAAATGAGTTTCCTCTACAGGGTAGCTGGACTCCTTAGAGATAGGGTGAGAAGTTTAGTTATACGGGAGAGACTGAGTAGAACCACAGCTCCTCCACATCGAGGGGAGCCAGTTGAGGTGGTTCAGGCATCTGGTAAGGATGTTTCCAGGGTGCATCCCTAGGAAGCTGCTTCAGACATGTCCGACTGGGAGGAGACCTCAGGGAAGACCCAAGACACGATGGAGAGACTACGTCTCTCGGTAGACCTAGGAATGCCTTGGAGTCCTCCGAGAAGAGCTGGAAGAGGTGGCTGTGGAAAGAGATGTCTGGACCTCTCTGCTCAAGCTGCTGCCCCCATGACCCGACTTAATAAGTGGAAGATAATGGATGGATGGAAACATCAAAAGGAAAAAAAAGAAAAAACTGTGATCAGGATCGTTGTGCACAGCAGGATAATAATGTGCACTTACATATGCAAGAACCGGGCCTTACATACACACATGCAGAGAGGTGACTGACTCACTCTTGCATTAATGGCTGTATTATTTAAGGAGACTGTCGTTTCTGAGGAAGCATACAGAATCATGACCCAAGGCAGAACCTATCATCACCATCATTACCATTACCTATGAAGCAGTCCCACTCAGAGCAGCAGGGAGGCAAATCACTGCTCCCGTCAAGGGGGCAAATTATCCACACGTTCTTCTGCAGCTGTGCAAGACGGTGATCAAAGAGAAATCCCTATTTATCCCAAAGTTTTCCCACTACCTTCACGGTGCTTTCCAATCCAAACTGCTGAAATTTCCCACCATGTGACACATTTTATCAAATGAATCATTCTCAATATTAACTTATATTCCAATACTGTTTTTTTCCCCCTACTTTTGATTGCTCCCTTTTTCAGCGGTCGCCACAGCGGACTAACTTGCATGAAGACTTGTCAGTCGTTTTTACACTGGATGCCCTTCTTTATGCAACCACAGCCCACCAAGCTACCACAGTTATCTGTATGGAGCAGAGAGCCGCCATCTAGGGCACCCAGGGGAGCAGATGGTGGGGATCAAGTGTCTTGCTCTAGGGCACAGGTTGGGGCAAATGAGGGTGGAGACAGGTGTAGGAGTTTCAACCTCCCTAACCAAATTTTTTGATGTTGTCGGTTCGGGGAGTTGAACGAGTGACCTTCCAATCGCAGGCCCACCCTCCCCAACCGCCATACCACCACTTCCTCTAATTAACTTGTATTCCAATACAATATCCAGAAACGGTAAAGCGCATAACTAACATTTTCTTAGAGCTTATTTTGTATTTAAATATCTTTTTTATTCGTTTTTGTTGATGCCGTCTTGTCTTTTTAGAGTAGCAGAAAAGAAAGAGATGCCATTAGAGTGGTAGGCAATAAAAGTCCAGCTGGCTCATAGTCAAACCAGAGATCCGAGGCTTGATAGCACTTGTGCTTTTGTGAAATGTCCCCAAACCAATCTGCTTCTGGATGACCCCTCTGTTGCTTATTTTAACTAAATGAAATGTATAACTACAAGCAAAGTGCACAATGGTTAAAAAAAATGAAGCAATGAATAATGAATGTAGAAGAACATTATGTAAAAATCATCTTGTGGAGTAAAAAAGACAGAACAGGATCATGACTGACACGATGAATGCTGAATGCATTTACGGTGAAGGTTTGGGGTCACTCGAGAACAATTGGCTCCATGCTCTCTCAGCTTGTTTCCCCCTAATAAAGGTTTATATCTTTAACTCACTTGTTTTTTGAGCACTAATCCCATCAATGGTCTGTAAATACTCCATTCAATGCAATCCTCCGATTAAAGGGCAGACAGAAGCCTCTACCTTAACTGGATTGTAATGTGGGTCCTAAACACAAACATAGAACAGAGTGCAGATAGCAGAACACTAACCTTTCCTTAAAGTCGAGAAATATTTTCCCAAGGCCGCTTCCTCCACTGACCATGTTTAGGTCGATGGCTCGCAGAAGGGCGAAGTGAACTCTGATTATATCCTGAGAAAAGATAATAAAAATGTATCATACTGGAACAGGTAAGCAATGATATGAACACATATACAGGGTATTTCACACCACATCAATATGATGGTAAAAACTGGTCAACTCACTCTACAGCTCACATGTTTCTCATGTACAATGTTTTAGGATGTAAAACTTTTTTCTGTTGAACATAAATACGAATGAAATAAAAGAGTAGAATAGAATAGAATTCAAAACCTTACTTCTAACATACAAAGCTCTCAACAACCTAGCTCCATTTTATATTACAGACCTTACTGTGCCGTATTTTCCTAACGGAGCATTTCGCTCTCAGACTGCAGGTTTACTTGTGGTTCCTAGAGTTTCCAAAAGCAGGATGGGAGGAAGATCTTTCAGTTATCAAGCTCCTCTCTTGTGGAACCAACTTCCAGTTTTAAGAGTGGGCTCAAGTCTTTCCTTTTTGATAAATCCTATAGTTAGGGTTGGATTGGGTTTCCTGAACATCCCTTAGTTATGCTGCTATAAGCTTATACTGCTGGAGAACAAACTGACCACATTTCTTCTCTCTGCTGCTGTCTTTACTTACTCTACTCTATCGGTTTGTATTTCTACCCGTTTTGTATTTGTAATTATTTCTATCTCTAGCATGTGTGTGGGACTTTAAGTCACATGATCCAAGAGGACTTTTTGGTTGTCAAAAACAAATATTTATTAGCTTTTTCTATGGAACCAGTTAAAACCAGCTCTAGCACTAGCCTTGGTCTAGTTATTTAAATGGGAAAACCCTAAATGAGTTGCATTGCATGGGAGGGTGTCCAATGTCGAACATTTCCTTTCTCCTACTAATATTTAAATAACACAGAATGATGTTTTAAAAAAATAGAAAAATGAACAATGAGCCAGGTAAAGTCCTCTACTTATCATCCTTTATGCTTCTTTACTCTTTATTCAGGAAGAATCTATAGATGATGCTCGAAGAAACCTTTTAGCTTGATTGTTTGACCTGGTTTGTAAAGCAAGGAGGCGGTTCAATGATGGACCGCCATTTGTGGAATTATCTTGCTCCTTCAAAAGCATTTCATGGCAGAATTGCTTTAATACATTTTGGAGCAACCATCTGCTTCCCAGTGATGGTGTCATCATCCAGGATGACAAGTTGCTGATTTCTATAGTTGTAGCATGTTAAATGTTGCCCCGCAGTAACAAAAAACTCCTAAAAATGACCTTCGGAATCACTTGATCTGAACATTTTCAAACATCTACGATGCGTTTTGAAGCAACGTGCATTAAACAGCTTTCAGGTTTGACTTCAAAAATAAACATAAACTGGATGTTTATATGACAAACTTGGCTGCTGCTGCCTAAAAGAGTATACAGGTCATGATATATATATATATATATATATATATATTTCACATGTTTGTTTCCATTTGTTTTTAACACTTGTAAATGCTACAGTCGTCATTGATCATTAGTTGTTCTAAAAGGTATACAAATAACTGAATCATCTGTTTTATGTTGGTGCTGTGTTAGAAATTAACTTCAACACATCCAAGTGATTAATCATGAGTATTTACAACCTTAGGGTACAGTACATTTACAGCACAACACGTCACTCAGTCACAAACTGAATTATTCACATGCTGCAAAGGCAGATTTTGCTCTTCGCTTGACCGGCGTCTTACCTCAAAGTTGACAAAAATAGCCTCCATTTCTTGTGGGCTGAAGACTTGCTTCAATGGGATCATGTAATTCTTGAAGGAAAGTGAGAAACAAACAAGTGTCTTTTATAAAAAATACAAATAAAAATACATAAATCAATAATCTTTCCTACAAAGTGGCAACTGACAGTTTTTTTTCTATGAGCTTATAAAATGAAACCGAGCTCTCTTCAGGCTTTTAGCAGAAATCAATACAGTACACAGTGAAAATGGAGGTAACTTATATCAAGTCATTTACTTCGAGGCTGCAACACACAGGTTGATAATTGCACAGAGCTGCTGTGCAGGTTGCAGCTGACAGGAAAAACCTGCCTGTGATTTCCCCTATAAGGTTGTCGCATTTCATCATCGTAATGATAACAAACAGATCGACTTAGAAGCAGCGTAAAAATGACAAGACTTTATGAACCCCAACTCAATTAAGCTTTACGAGTCCTCTGATAATAAGAGGCATATTTATTCTCATTTAGCCTCACGTTGCTCTGATGTGGGAAACACAGAATGCACATTTGCTTTAATGAAATTAGTGGAGCGGGTGATTTGTGGCGCTCCATCAAATCGCAGATGAAATCTGCCAACACTGAAAGTGATGCGTTAGCAGCACTCATCTCCACAGTTATTTAATATTACAGAGATATAACAGGAGTGTTTGAATGTGTGTGAATTTACAGCCATTTGGAGTGATAGTCGTTATTGGAGTGTGATTCTGTGGCGTTATCTTACCTGTTGTAGATAGCACTTTTATGGCCTAAATTTGAAGAGACAGAGTTTAACTCTGACCAGATTGACAAGCTAAAGGTTAGGTCAAGATCCCAGTGGGTTGGTATCATTTTAAACAACACCAATATCAAAACTTTCAGTGCGGTTTATTAT